TTTCCAAGATGGTAGACAGGTGATGCTGCAGTATTGCCAGGTCTGAATGGCTGTCGGTCAAATAATTTTTTCAATGAAAAACTATAACTTACTCTGAGCAAGCAACCAATAAAAGCAATACTTAGCCATATGATTTTGTAATATTTTCTCAGCTTATCAGCCTTTGGTACATCTCACACCCATTCATCTCTCTTTTACCCTCATAACAACCAACTATTATTTCTTTTTTTTTTTTTCTCCTCCTACTCTCTTGGGGCATTTTTCTCCTATATTAAGATTCTCTGTAAAATTAGTTTATTGTGTACACATAATCCTAGCATCTGCACATCAAGCATCAAGCAAGGAAAGAAAAAATGCACAGGCAAACTTTGCTCTTTACGTGCCTATTGGTAAGGCAGGAGTGGATTCCCAAAACCAATAATCAACTGGACATAATTAGAAGTTGCAAACAGATACTCCAATTGATCACTACAGAAATGCTTGCAACATATTATTTATGATTGGCTAAAATTTATTAGAATCACCAAATTGTAGTAGTGTTAAAATATACATATACAGAACATAAATAATGTCTATAACAGTGTGTCCTTGGTAATACCTCAGTCATTTGGCAGTAATCATAAAACATTGTCAACTTGCATCTAACTAACTCAAAAGTCAAAGTTGTACTCTGTTCTGCATATACCTTTAAGACAATCTAAAGATCACATTAAAATATGAATCATGTCATAAGATTAGATGAAATGTTAGATGTGAAAAACACATATAGAACATATTTTCGTGACAAGAAGAACAAAAATATAAGAGATGGAACATCAAAGAACAGGAAGATATCCAACATCAGGTTAATACTCAATATTATGTAATGAAAATTATAAATTGAAGATAGTTTGGTAACTGTTCAGTAGTTCATATTTGAAGTACCACTATTGAAACTTGAGCGAGAGCCTAAAAAAGGATTGATAGTGAGCTGAGGAGGATTTCACAGCGTAAAAAGTGAATAGCTTATCAGTAGAAAATGACGATATCCAAGGAGAAAATATGTTCAACTTTATACTAAATCTAATTTTGAGTAGATCCATGAAACAAACATACACTGGTCACAAAAAAAATTAATAAACCAAAAGAAAATTTAAAACATAGGTACACATCTCACTAGGATTTTTTCCTTTCCCAGCGCCCAAAGAGGAGAAGTTAGAGAAAAAAATCCCCAACCCAAAAAATATAATTCTAAGTTTTCACTTATAGCCCTAATTAGACAAAAAGAAATTTAAAGAGCAATTTGAATTTAGTCCTATATCAAACAAAAACATAGAAGATTATTTAAATGATTGTGATCCATATGATGTATCCCAAGCATCAGGTAGTCTTATCAAATAAATGCATAGAAGATTCAGGCTATAACAAGAAGAATTATTTTCATGATCGAGATCAAAGTGGTATATGTCAATCTGATGTGGCTGGATTAAATGAGGATTTCATGAATTGCAAATGGAGCAGAAATCACAATCTAACATTATATTACAATTACACACACTTCAACGAACAGATAACGATATAGAATCTATATCAGAATCTACTTCCAAACCTTTGAGAAGACCAAAATTACAAATTTCAATTATTTTCAAAAAATTAATTGCAGCCTTCCACGAAGCAATTGCTGATGGAAAGAGCTGCTAAACGAAACAGCACTAGGAGAGTTTTAAAAGGAATAACGTGCAAGGGTTTCTAGACACGATTCATTTGACATCATATTCAAATTGCATATAATTTTATCAACAATTGATCTTTGTACCTGAACAAGATGGAGATTAAGGTTCATGCCATTTGTGTTTTCTGAGAGTTGAGATGCGAATGATGCAAACAATTTGTGTTTTCTTAGGGTCAAGGCTGACCTGTGGACTATCCCTTCCCTGACCCAGCATGTTATGGGCTAATTTATTTAGGGCCAAACTAATTTTTTAAACAAACATTGGATTAGGGCTAGGTAGGATGTGTGTATTCAGGGCTAGGTAGGACTAGCTCTTGGGCTAAAGCCCTCATTGACACCTCTAATCTAGTATCCCTTAAACACAAACAACTGTGGACACCCAACATAAAGTTCTCACTGATGATCAGTTTTTCTTCAAGGATAACCAATTCTGCACTCCAACCATACTAAGGGGACACTGCATCAGGTTTTGAACACTAAAATATCCAAGGATCAAGCTTTCAAAGCCCACGACTTTAGCCAAGCTCACATGTAGGCACATTTCTAAAATTCTAGATATGTTAGCTTTCAAACAAGATAGGTTGGACTCAATTTGGATACCAACTTACCCACTTACACTCCAAACAATATAAGTGTCTCAGTTTTGGACCCCTCTGCAAGACAACCTCCTTAATTGTACATTTTGGAAAAATTACGACAACTAATTAGTTCCTTTTATTTTTATTTTTTTTGGCTTTAGTCTTATAAAATTTTAAATAAGTTAGCTTTCCATCATTACATTCAACACCAAAGTATTTCACTATTTGGAATCCACCAATATACAATGTCTCAGAGTTTTCTAATTCTTCTACTTTTATTGCTATGGTGGAAGGAGTCTACATTCCCAATCCCATTATTCAAGATGAAATTAGACACGATAAAAGTAAGTCTTCTTACCTCACACATAATGAGGAACATCTACATTTTCTTGCTGAAAAATAGAAATATGAGTTCAAGGGAACATAATGGAGAAAAACTTTCTACCTCACAATACAACTTCTACTCATCTTGAAAATTCTCCCCAAAAAATTATATTTTGGTCTCTGATAACATTACCTCAACAAGTATTCTTAAGAGAGAGATGTAGTGTAAAATGCTGCCTAAATCAACAATGTTGATTTAAAACATAAATGTTGGTTTTTTTTTTTTTTTCAAAAACATTAAAATTTTACCAGACTAAAACAAAAACAAAAAAAATTTAATAGGGACTAATTCTAAAAATGTGTATTTTTTAGGAAGGCTAAATTAGTAGATTAGTCCCTTAACTGTGTTTGTTTCAACTTAGGTTTGTAACTTTTTTTTTCTTCCATATAAGTCTTGTATATTTTAAATCTATTCTAAGTTAGTCTTCTCTATTAAACTTGATTGACGGTATTACTAACTTTACTAATAATGAATTAGATTATGTTGTTACTAACTTTTTAATATTTTTATATTTGTTTCGTTAACTTTTGTTTAAGTTTCACTTTGGTCCTTTATCTATTAATATAGTTTTAATATAGTCCTTTTTTCACTTGTTATGATGAATTACAAAAATTGGTTAAAGACCAAATTTTTTAGGTCAGACATATCAACTATATGAAAGATAGATTTATTGTGAGATTAAATGCTCACAGGGATACCATATCATCATGCAATTACATGCATGAATCATATGAACTTTAATCCAAAAGATTTTATCCCCTCATATTTTAGGAAAGAGCCTTATGAAGTAGTGTATGAGAACAACATATATCCTATCTAACAAATTGCCCAAATTTTGTGGGTTGAAACTTCATACACTAATGTACTCTCCAATCAGAAAGCAACCTGAAAGACCCAAAAAGGAAAGAAATAAGGTGCTTGAAGAAATGACAAAGGATGCAAAAAAATTGAGCAGAAAAAGATTTTCCATTAAGTGTAGAAACTATGGAGTAGCAAGTCATAACAAGAGCACATATAAGTTTGCTCCACCATCTCAGCCTACAACAACTTAGTCATCTCAGCCACCAATTGAATCAACTATTCAAACACCTTCTTAGTAAACAACTCAATCAATAGGCTAGACAACATCTTAGACATAAAAAAGAATTAAACTTCAAGCAAGAAGGATACTAAACAAGGATCCCTGAAGCATCTTACAACATCCTTTTTTTTTTGTCACTAAACAAGAATGTATTTTGGTCTTATTTAGAATATTTGGAAGTATTGTTCTGTGTTGTTTATGTATTTTGGTCTTGTATAGAACCTTTGGTAGTATTATGTTAATTTGAACTTTATATTAATGTGGAGTTTCATTTTGAATTCATTGTTTTGCAACACCAAAAAGGACAGAAACAGTTAACATCATTCATATAATATAATCTTAGTTTATCATTTTTGCAACAATATTACATAATAAATTGCTCGAAATAAGAAAACTATTTGTTCTTTTTTAGTGGTTGTTGCAACGCTTACTTTGTAATTTTGGCAACCCCCAAAACCTACTTCCTTGCATGTAATTGCACGAAGGGATAAAATCTTCTAGATTAAAGTTTCATATGATTCATGCATGTAATTGCATGATGACATGGTATTCTTGTCATAGTAGTCAATAGCGAAAATAGCGGCCGCAATCGCGGTGGAGCGGCCCTTTCCCGCGACGGCGACGCTGTCGCGTCGCGTTTCACAGTAGCGGCTGTCGCGCCGCGATTAGCGGCGGAAAACACCGAAAATAGCGGCTGGAGCGGCCGCTATCTCATTCTCGCGCGTTTCCCCTTTTTGCCCCTCATCTTTTACCGTTAGGGCCCTTTAAGGGGGGGCAATTTTGGAATTTTGACCCCCCTTTATTTTTCTGAATCATCTTCTTCAACCCTAGCCTCCATCAGTCTGCTCTCCTCTCTTCTCCCGTCGGTTCTCTCTCCTCTGTTCTCGGTTCTCTCTCCTCTGTTCTCGTTTCTCTCTCCCCTGTTCTCGGTTTTCTGGTCATCCTCTGTTCGTTGTGCTCTGTTTTTCCGGCGAGACTTCCACTTGATTTTCCGGTCATCTTCTTCGTCTCCGGCAAGCTTCTAAGGTGACCCAAATTATTTTGAGTCATTTTCTTCATCTCTTCTCATCTTCTTCAAGGTCAGCACAACTTTCCGGTCATCTTCTCCAACTCCGGCAGACTTCCGGCGAACTTTCCGGTACTGAACATTTTTTTTTTCCTATATTTTTCTCTGTTTTTTTTTTCTCTTCTCTGTTTTGATTTTTCTATTATTTTCTGTTCGAAATTTCAAAGCTTAAAGAAGTAATGGCTACTCCTCCCAATCTGTCACAAGGAACCGGCTCTGTTTCAATTTCATCCTGTGCATTAGTGAAGCCTTCAGGAAATAATTTGGATATAGGTTGGCAATGGAATAGTTTGAAAGATATAAATAATAAAAAGTCTGTTACTTGTGACTTTTGTGGAAAAACGACTACAGGCGGTATTACCCGAGCAAAGAGGCACCAAATGGGAGTGAAGGGAGATGTTGATAAGTGTCCAAGGATTCCCAAAGAAATAAAAGAAACACTAATAGCAGCTCATGAGAAGAAGAGAATTGAAAAAGAGGTATATTTACTTCAGCATGATGAAGATGATGATGATGAAGAAGAGGTGCAAGAAATTCAAAATATTCGTAGTGGAAAACGACCTGCAACCTCAAGTGTTGCATCAGTTTATGTTAGTGGTTGTAATGCCACCAAAAAAGGAAAAAATGTCAAGGGCCCATTGGATTTATTATGGTTAAAGAGTCCAGAAACAAGCATCAAATTAGCAAAATCAAAAAGACAAACAAGTATAAATGATGCTTGTGTCAAAGAGGCAAGAGCAAGAACAGTTCAATACATAGAGCGATTCCTTTGTAGGAATGGAATTGCTTTCAACGTTGTGCGCTCAAAAAGTTTCAAATTAATGGTTGAAGCTATTGGAAACTATGGTCCACATCTAAAGCCTCCTAGTTATCATGAGTGTAGAGTTCCTCTTCTTAAAAAGGAGTTAGAGTATACAAAGGAAATGTTGAAAAGTCGTGAAGAAGAAAGAGAAAAATGTGGATGTTCAATTATGTCAGATGCGTGGACGGATAAAAAAAATAGAACATTGATCAATTTCTTAGTAAATTGTCCAACTGGTTCTATGTTTGTAAAGAGCATTGATGCATCTGCTTATATGAAAACTGGAGAAAAGTTGTTTGAGCTCTTGGATAGCTTTGTTGAAGAGATTGGAGAGAAAAATGTTGTGCAAGTAGTTACTGATAATGGAAGTAATTATGTATTAGCCGGTAAGAATTATTCTTAACTCCCTATATTAATTTCAGTTACTAATTATTTTATTAGTTTCTAATTTTAGACTATGCAATTTAATTTTAGGTAAGTTGTTGCAAGCTAAAAGACCACATTTGTTTTGGACTCCATGCGCTGCACACTGTATTGACTTGATATTAGAAGACATTGGAAAAATACCTAGAGTCAAGAGAACAATCCAAAGGGGAGTTACTCTTGTGGGTTTTATTTATAATCATTCATTGACTTTGAATATTATGAGGAAGTTCACCAATAAAGCTGAATTGGTTAGATATGGAGTGACAAGGTTTGCCACAACATTCCTCACATTACAAAGGTTGCATAATAAAAAAAACAACCTTAGAAAAATGTTCACTTCCGATGAGTGGTTAAAGTCCAAAACAGCCAAAGAAGCTAAAGGAAAAAGGGCAACAGACATTGTACTTATGCCTTCTTTTTGGAATGATGTGGTTTTCTGTCTTAAGGCTATGGGGCCACTTGTGCAAGTTTTGAGACTTGTTGATAATGAAAGAAAGCCTGCAATGGGTTATATATATGAGGCAATTGATAGAGCTAAAGAAAGCATTCAAAATGCATTCAAAGGAAATGTAGACAAATATAAGGAGATTTTTGCTATAATTGATAGAAGATGGGAGTGTCAACTTCATCATCCATTACATGCTGCGGGTTATTATCTGAATCCTCAATTTTTTTATAGCAATAAACAAATTGAGAATGATCCTGAAGTTGTGGAAGGCTTGTATAAATGTATTGAGAGGCTATGTACAAGTGAAGATGATGTAGACAATGCTACAGTTCAATTGTCAACATATAGAAGAGCTGAAGGTCTCTTTGGTTTAAGTGGAGCAAAAAGACAAAGGGCTACAATGGCTCCTGGTAAGAGATTTGTTTAATTTTTTTATTGTAATGTAATTATGTAGATATAACACAAAAAGGTTAATAAGTTGATGCATAACTTGCAGCTGAATGGTGGAAGAATTATGGAGTACGTACACCACATTTACAAAATATTGCTATTAGAGTGTTGAGTTTGACTTGTAGTTCATCTGGATGTGAACGAAATTGGAGTACTTTTGAGCACGTAAGTAAATATCTGAATCCTCAATTTAAAGTTCTTTTATGAAAAGTGAAAATCTAATATTTCTTTTTTATGGTAAAATAGATTCATTCTAAAAAGAGAAGCAGACTTGAGCATCAAAGGTTACAAGACTTGGTTTTTATTAAATATAACCAAGCTCTTAATGAACGTTTTGAGTGTTCTGACGTGGTGGATCCTATTATCTTAAAGGATGTTGATGATAGTAATAATTGGTTGCTAGAAGGAATAGCTGGAGATGATGAAGATGCTGTAGATGAATTAGTGTTTGATGATGATAACTTGACTTGGGGAACTGTTGCTAATGCAATCGGGGCTAGTGAACCTATAACCTACACTAGGCAACAAGCTAAATCAAAATCCAAGACAACTACAATTGCTTCTTCATCTAAATCTAAGGGAAAAGGGAAAGAAATTGTACAAGAAGAAGAAGAAGAAGAAGAATGTGATGACGAAGACTCTGAAGAAGAGGAGGAGGAGGAGGAGGAGGTTCTTTACAAAAGTAGTGATGAAAGTGAAAATGAAGAGGACATTGCAAATCTTGGAGATGAAGATGATGATAATTATTAAAATATTTGTATTTGAATTGAACACTTAGTATTTTTAAACATCTAAGCATTAGAGACTTAAATTTAGTTAGTTAAATTTATTTTTATATTTTTTTGTTACTTGTTATTGACATCTAAGCATATATATATATATGTGTGTAATTTAATTAATGAGTTTATGAGTATATTTATAATACCTAAAATAGCGGCCATCCCGCTATCCGCTATGCCGCTATAGCGTTTTTTAGGTTGGCCGCTCCGCGCCGCTATCCGGGATTGACTACTATGATTCTTGTGAGCATCCAACCTTTGCAACAACATTCATGATTGTTTTACCTCACAACAAACTTATCTCCTATATAGTTGATATGTTTAATCTAAAATATTTGGTCCCTATCCAACTTGTGTAATTCACCATAACAAGTAAAAAAAAGACCATATTAAAACTACATTAATAAATAAAGGACCAAAGTGAAACTTAAACAAAAGTTACAAGACTATTATAAAATATATTAAAAAAGTTAGTAATCACATAATATTATCTTATTCTATGTCTAATTCCACGCTATCAAAGTTAGTAACACCATCAATCAATTTTAATAGAGAGGACTAACTTAGAACATATTTAAAATATATGGAACCTATATAAAAAAAAAAGGTTACAAGTCAGAAAGTCAAAACAAACACGAGAATTAAGGAGCCAATCTATAAATTTAGCCAACGAGGAACTAATTATTTATTTAAGCCTTGTCACGATTGAAGCTAACATTTCATGTGGCAAATTTTATGTAAAACATTTTTTACTTAGTCATCACTTAATGATTCTCAATTAACGGCAGGGATTATTTTCTAAAAAATAAAACTTTGCATGATTAAAGCAGACAATTTTGTAGGGACTAATTCTAAAAAATTGTATATTTTTAAGGACTATTTACTTATTTAAACCAAATAAAAATTATAATGAGTGATGTGATACGAAAAGAAGATAAATAGAAAGAAAAGGAGGATAAAGCATAGATGTAAGAGAAAGAGTGTGCAGATATAAGAGTTTTTAAAGTAAAGCTGCTATTTTCTCTCACAATAAACCAGGTCAACTTCTCAATCAATAGAATAATTTCTTTTTCCCACATGAATCATGTGCACCCTGTACATTTTGTCTTTCCCAGCATGAGAGTTTTGTTTCTAAGTTCAGTTTCAAACTCTATCCTTATTTCAGAATCAAACTCCTAATCATAGTTCCCTTTACATTATTATCTTATTGCTAAGGATTGATTACAATGCCAAGTGAGGACACCGGAGATTTCTGGTTGCTATTCCCTCTGTCAACCTTTTCCGCTTCTGTTGATATTTGGAATTTGTTAATGACACTGACTAATGTTGGGTTTTTCCTTATGCCAAAAGAGCTCTATCAAGAGAAGTTAAGCAACATATATATATGACTGTTCTGTCAAAACTCCTATTTAATTGAAATAAAAAATGATGCAACAACTATACACTTTTAAAATAATGATTGCTGACTATTGACAGGGAAGGAAAAATGCATAAAGTAGAAGCAATGGGAGAAGAAGCAGATATAGAAGAACAATCTGTACCACAGACTACCAATAATCTCCACAGGAGCAATACCCATCCTTGAAATGATGAAATCGATAACCGTCTCTCATGATAAGTTCCCTTGAGGTGACCAAAGACAACAACTTTATTACCAAGTGACAATCATTGCAGACACGAAGATTTTTCATTACACGTATAGGCATCCAAGATGGCAAACTAAGCAACCCAAAAGCAAAAGCAAGCTTTTCACTATGGTATTTCTGACTCCTATGGGCAGAAGAGACAACACTAGTATATCTTCCTGTATCTTCTATCTTCTTCAGCATCTCCTCCAGTTTTATATAAATCTCCTTTATCTGTGGATGATCAGTGTCAGCAACAGTGAACACATGTACTCTGTTATCAACCTCTATCCAGCTACAACCTGGACTCTTACAAATTCCTTTTACTTTCATAAACTTTCTCATATCAGCAACATTTTCTAACTCTCCAGACTCGGCATATATATTTGCTAGAAGGACATAAACTCCAGAATCCTCAAAATTTAATTCCATCAACTTCTTCACTGCAGTTTCTGCTAGTCGTGAATCGTGATGGATTCGGCATGCTCCTAGTAGGGCACACCAAACAGTGGCATTTGGCTTGAAAGGCATACCATCAATTAAATTCTTGGCCTGGTCTAGTAGCCCAGCTCGTCCAAGCAGATCTACCACAGAAGCAAAGTGTTCATTTGTTGGAGAAATGCCAATTTGAGTCATGGATTCAAAGTAATGTTTCCCTTCAACTACAAGCCCCATGTGGCTACACCCAGATAAAACAGCCACGTAGCTAATATGATCAGGTTTGCATTCCGTCTTTAACATATCCTCAAACGTTTCAATTACTTTCCTACCTAAACCATTTTGAGCAAATGCTGCCATCATAGCATTCCAGGAAATGCGGTTTTTCACATGTATTGAATCAAAAACTTTCTCTGCTTCTTTGATCTGTCCACATCTTGAGTACATTGTAATAATACTATTTGCAACTGAAACATCTGAACTTAGACCAAACCTTATAGCATGAGATACAACTTGCGTCCCAAGTTTTATAATAGCCAAGTCAGCACAGGCCCGGATTGAAGTTGTAAAAGTGATACAATCTGGTTTGACATCTTTGCTTCTCATCAAAACATACAACTTAAGGCCTTCTTCTGAGAATCCATGTTGAATATATGTGCTTAACATGGAGTTCCAAGTAACGACATTACGCTCAGGCATTGTATTAAAACATTCACGGGCTGCTTCAATGTCTCCATTCTGAGAGAATGCAGTGATCATTGCTGTCCATGATATCCTATCTCTAAGTGGCATTAATCTAAATGCAAGATTCGCTTTTTCCACATCTCCACACTTCGCATACATTGTAATGGTTGCATTCCCTATGGGAATAGAGGAATCCATCCCACTTTTGATTGTATACACATGAAGTAGTTTCCCAATGGCAGCATGAGTTTGACCTGAACAAACCCCAAGAACTGTAGCGAGAGTAAAATCATCCAACACCACAGAAGCCTGTCTCATTTGTTTAAATAGTGCCAAAGCATCTTCACAGAGTCCAAACTGTGCCATCCCGGCAATCAAACAAGTCCAAGAAACTTGATTGTGTTCCCCTAAACTGTTGAACACACGCCTTGCCAACCCTAAGCATCCACATTTGGCATACATGTCTATGACACCACTTCCCAAAATCTCATCCAGGCTATCATGTTCCATGCGAAGAATCCGAGCATGCAAATGCTTACCCCATTCCAGATCAGAAATGCTGGCACATGCACTAAGTACACTACCATAAGTAATGAAATTAGGTCTAAAACCCTGATTGCACATCTCCGCAAACAGACTAAGACATTGAACCCCAAGGCCGTGTTGAGAAAACACTGAGATCAGCGTGTTCCAAGAAATGGAATCACGTTCGGGCATTCGGGTGAAGGCATGGAGTGCTTCATAGGGTCCGCGTAATTGAGAGTATCCATAAATCATACTGTTCCAACAAAACAAACTTGGGCTTTCAATGTTGAGGAAAACCGTCTCAGCCAAACTGATTGCTCCACACTTGACATACATATCAACAAGGGAGTTGTGAATGCAGGTTTGGGTTCCAAAATGTAACTTGATGACATGGGCATGCAACTGAAGAGCCAGCTGAACCGAGGCAAAGCGGCCACAAGCCTTCATTGCACAAGTAAAGGGAAAGGGGTCACAGTTTTGAATTTGAACATTAGAGTCCCGAAGCATTAAAGTGAAAGTTTTGATGCTATGAGCAGGGAGAGCATTTTGACAATAGCCAGATATCATGGTGGTCCAAGAAACAGAATCTCTCTCTGTCATAGGCATTTCATCAAACAAGTGTTCTGCTTCACTCATCCGACCCGAATGAACCAAGGCATTGAGCATTGTGTTCCAAGTGAAGGTATTGCGATGAATGGCTTCGCGGAAAGCACGAAAGGCATCGTCTATCAAGCTGCAATTAGAGTACATGTGGAGTAGATTGTTGAGTAAGAAAAGGGAAGCGTCCAAACCGGAGCGGATGAGTTGGGCGTGAAGTTTGCGAGCAATGGGTGGGGATTTGAGGGAAGACCCACACAGCTTGAAAGCATCGTAAAACTTCTGAGAAAGTTTCATGTAAGACATTTGGTTTGGTGAGGTTCCTTACTTGCTAAATTAAGGTGGTCATTTGCAGAGTAAGCAAAATTCTAAACCAAAAGAAAAAAAGAAGGTTGTGTGTGTAAATCAGTGCAAGGAAGTGGATGATGATGTTGTTGTTGCTCACAAACCGTAAGCTTATGTGTGGAAGTGGAACCACGAGACCTGCGAGTGGCACGACGGCTTCGCTCTCTGTGACTGTGACCCGTTCCCTTTGGCTGCTGCTGGTAGCCGTTACTCTCCTCCTCCCTTGGAAACATCTTCCTCCCTCTGTCACCCCACTCACAACCCCCTTCTCACGTCGACTAACATAGACAGTTATTTAATTTTATAATGCACGTTTCTCTTTTTTCAAATATTTGTCTTAATTCTCTTTATATATATATATAACAATTATCATTCTTTTTTTATCAGAATAATAATTCTCATTCTAATTTAACTCTTTTTTCTTTTTTTTTTTTAGATATTGATATTTTGTGTATTTAAAATTAACTTAATTATACTTTTTTATCTATATACTTTTAAAGTAGTTGCAATTTTAATTATTTATATTTAATTTTAATTACTCACTTTAATCTTTCAAGTTTTTAGAACGTATAATTTTGGTTTTTCTAATTTTTTAAATATGCTACTTTGGTTTCTCTAATTTTAATTCTTCATATATAGTTTATCTAATTTTTCAATTATTTAAATTAAGTTTATCATTAAAATTTTTATTATATTTTATATGTTTTATTTTTTATTTTATTTAAATTTTTTTATATTTTTATTAATTATTATATAAATTATTGAAGTACAAATCGTAGTTTAAATATTTAAAAAATTAAAGAGACTAAATTAAAAGTTTAATTAAGCCTATACTCGTTACTTTCTAATATCCCTCCTTCCAAGTATCACTAAAAGTAAAAATATACATAATTTAATATTTTATTTTTGTTCAAGACCATCGGCATACGGAAACTATTCATTACAAAATAAAATTTAAAAGTTCTTTTCTGCTCTTACTGTTTTTTTATTTATAAGACTTAAAGTTATGAAATTATTTTAAAAATAAAAAATTAAACATCTTATTAATTACACTAATTGATTATTTAAAAAAATATATATTACTCTTATTTTTTTCTAAATGTGTACATGTGTGTGAAATAAAAAAAATTATGCTAATATTTAGAGCATATTGTAAATACCTACTTATGTTATATTCCTTCAATGATTATATAAATAAAATTAAATAAATTAATAAAAATTAGTCTGAATAACAAATGACTTATTATCTCTCTAGTAATTTACTTACTAGATTTAGGTATGCAACTCAGTCATATACGAATTAGATTGAATGAGAAACAAAATAAATTAATTAATAAATAATAGATATGTTATTCTTAAATTATAGACCTATATATTAAAAAATAAATATCAATATTTTTCTAATCCTACTTAATAAGAAATAAAAATTTATTTTTAATTACATTAATTTTTAAATTTCTTATATATACTTATTTATTATAAATTTATATTAACGAGGTATTCGCTGTATTCATTCATTTAATACGTAAAACACTAATTTAATCATTTATAACTAAATATTTTTAGAATAAAGTATAAATTTATGACAACTATTTTGTATTAATATTGATAAATTAAGTATTTGTTTCTTATAAATAGAATGAGATAATATAAAATTTTGTAGACTTAATATATTCTTATTTAATTCAACAACTTATATTAATGAAATTTAATGTACATAAAAAGTTAATACCCAATGTAAGTTTCACGAAACTTGTTTCTAGGATAAGTGATCCCTACTTATACACACATGTTCGACTCCGGTAGAAACTATTAACCATTGTCTTCTCCAATTTAATGATTGACTAATTTTAAAACATTGCTCTTTATACTTACATGCCAGAAGCTACTTAACGAAGTCCAAAACTACTGTTACATCGAAAAAGGCAGAAAAATGGGCATTGGGATAGGGGAAGGAGCCACACACGATTTGCTCATAACTCATCTCTGGATCCTCCATCTCTTCCATGATCATCGAATGATGCATATTCCTTAATTATTGACTCATAGATTTCTATCCCTTTCAAGTATACATCTTTGTTCAGAAACTGCATAAAGGAGAAGTAATGCTCAAGTAAAGGTTGAAATCCGAAGTCCAAACTAAATGCAGTTACAATAAATCCAGAGACATGCTCGCAGAGGAAAGGAGATAGAGGAACACTAGTGCAATTTCATAACACAACAAAGAAAATAACAGAAGAATAGGAGTCAATTTCTATGCCAGTGATCTGCGAGACAAGCTATTTAAACAAAAATTGTTTTTCATTAACACAACGTCCAGGTACTACCTTCTCCCACTGGCAAACAACCAAACACAAACAAGTCTACAAAATTTCTCAGAATAAACATAAAATTTTCATTGATTTATGGTGACACTTCTCTTTCCAACAGACTAATCTCTGGTCTGGCAAATAAGAAAAGCAAACGAGCCTAAAGTCAACCCAAATACGTGTTAAGAAAAAACATGGGGATAAATAGAAGTCTAGAATCAACCTGAAAAAATTTAATCCACCACTACATTGTTTTAGCCAAGACAGAGCTAATGCGATGCATCTTCATGAAAGCTTTAACTTAATTAGGACTTACTGCAAGCCTCAGTTCTAAATAACTAATCAGATATAGGATTCTAAAGACAATGACATCACTTGTGCAGATAAGCATATAACAAAACGATCAATTATGCACACAACTATAAATTAAAGGAATCACCTCATCGTGGTCATGGAGTAGAACAGGTGTGTTTGCCATAGGAGAAAATCCAATTGCTGGTAAACCACGACTGCGAAAGAAGTGTGAATCTGTAGAGGCAGGAAAGACCTCTGGCTTACCATGTTTCCCACCAGCCTTTTTGACAGCATTTTCTAACAGGGTCCACCAGGGATTGGAACCATCAGTTTTCGTGAGGATTGGTTCCCCTGACTTACCACGCACTGGTACCTTCTGTATGAACTGCCCAAGCTAAAAGAAATGAGATGGGGAAACAAATGAAGGGCTAATTTGATCTCAAGAAGAGGGAAGTACAAAAGTACATAAATAAACCATCATGTATACAAATACTCTTCCATTATTTGTATTTTTCCTTCAACATTTAAAAAATTTATACTTCAATTCATAAAGCCTAACCAGGATTAATTAATTCTCCCCAAAAAAAAAATACCTCTTTAATGTCTTCCACTCTTCCTTTAGTTTACATAGTAAACAAATCTAAATTAATTTATCAATTTCAACAAGTTTCATTTTATTTTTTTTAGCATTTGCTTTATTTTCCATATACACATGTGAGTACATACTGTTTAATGGTAATCACTGTTAACAAACAAACATTGTGTGATTACAGTCATCACACGTGCACCCACACCCTATATATATCCACGCAAACCAAAGCAAGAAGCGCCAGCACCTTCACCAGGCAAAAGCTTGAAACATTCTGAAACTAATGACCAAAATAAAATTGAACCAACTGACACAACAGAACTTATAACGAACAGCATTCATTATACTTCAATTTACACAAACCACAAAAAGAAGGGTTAGTTACCAGAATTCTAACCATCCAAACAAGTGAGAGGACAAAATCTATATTTTATAAGTGCTAGGTAGATACTTGGCAATGAAAATACAGATTTATCTATTACTTTAGCAAAGCAAGAAAAAATTTGTACCTTTTTTCCTTTTTTTCTATCTTATAAGCTTTTGGGTTATATTTACTGAAGAATTGAGAGAAAACATTTTTTTAAGAAATTACATGCTTCTAATTAACAACCTGACATCTAAGGCTTTGTTTTTATCATAACCTTAGGTTAGTGCTAGCTAGAATAGAAATGGTATTTTCAACCCTTTTCTTTCCCTCGTTTTCTTTTTCCTAGATCTAAATGCACAGCACCATTACCCATGACATTATCTTTTTTTCTCGTTGAGTGGGTAAACAAAAATTGCAGAAGATGAAGGCCATGATCTGATACATTCTAGTGCAGATTTTAACTCTAAAAAAAGAAGAAAGTTTCTATGCCTGCAAATTTATATGAAAGTAAAAATCAAAGCAGTGAGTCAACAACACTACATGGAAGATATATATATAAAGCGGATTAGGTAATTACGGAGAATGACATATTGCGGGAAGAAGGTGCCCATTCTTGTGCAATGCGCCTTTCCAACGATTCCAGATCAGAAGTCGGCGGCACCCTAATATCAAATCCAGCTTCTGCTTCCGACGGCTGCAAATTCATAACAAAGCCCTGGCAGACACCAAAACACAAATAGAATGTAATCATATGGGACTAAGGGATTGTTCAATCACAGTAGTATCAGAACAAATGAGATGCGTCATGTCAGTTCCATAGTAAGCATGGCTTTACAGATTCCAGTCAAAAGTGATAAAAGCAACAGAAAACATAAAGTTGAAATAGAAGGTGTATTCTACTCTATCTATTCAATTCTACGACTATGATCATAACATAGATATAGATAGATTTATAACCATACATTCATTATACAAGCCAATGTAAGGTTTAAAGTTGGATGGAGTTCCTTTACTTACAGTTGGAGACGGAGTTCCAGCCTTGAGAAAGGCCATATTAACCGAAATAACATCACCTTCGGCTTTCAACCCGGCTTTGATCAAGTCCAATTGCGAGGTGCGAAACCTTCTGATGCTCTCAATGCTCTTCAACAGATTCTCCATTGCAGAGTTATCATAAAGCTTGGAACCATGACCGGGAGCCCCAACGGCCTTGATCACCAACCACAATGGACTCCTCTCAGCGTAGAACACCCTGTAATGATCATCCGGCGAGGCCAACCCTGATTCATGATTCAAAAAACACTGAGTGAGTGTGAATAAAAAGCTGAACTCAATAGTAATACTAATTTATTTTGTTAGCCACCTTCATCGAGCACTATGCCCACATTCATTTGCTGGAAGATCTGAGATTGCACGAACTTTTCAGCGCCGTCGTGTCCACCAATCTCCTCGTCGGGGGAGAAAGCGACGTAGACGGTGCGGAGAGGGTGGAAGTGTAAGGCCTTGAGGCGGCGAATGGCTTCGAGGTATTGCATGCCGACGCACTTCATGTCCTGAGAGCCTCTGGCGTAGATGCGTCCATGGGAGTCGATGTGGGCACTGAAGGGGTGGTGGGTCCACTTGTCGTGTTCGGATGGAACGACGTCGGTGTGAGAGTAGAGGAGAATCGAAGAGAGGTGAGGGTTTCTCCCTTCCCATTTCAGAAGGACGAGTGGCTTCCCTTCTGCCAACTCTATGATTTGGGATTCCAGAGAGAGGGCTTTCCCTTCCGACAGAAGGAAATCGGTTGCTTCCTTGTAACGCGGGTTGGGTTGGGCAGTGTTGATTTTAAGGTACCGTTGGAATCGTGATATGATGCTGCTTTCTTCTTCCTCGATTGATGATGATGATTCAACCCCTAGTTCTGATGTTAATGCTAAGGAGAGTAGAAGAAGTATAATGATTCTGCAATTGGACACCATAGTCAACGCTCAGTGCACACACTCTCTCACGGCCACTGGCGTTGCCTAGTCTAGGACTACCACTCACTTATGTTCCTCCAACTATTCTTTCCGTCGCATACTGCAAAATTAACTCTTTCCTGCTTTTTTATTTATTTTTTATAAAAAGTTTCGTATATTATATGCACAAAACTAAGAATTATATTAGTGTTAAAATTGCTGCCAATTTCACATCTAGAGCATGTGAAACTTGGTTTTAAAAAAATAAATAAAAATAGTAGTGGTAGTGCACACGTTAAAAATATTAAAAATAACTATGATTGGTTTCCGCGTACAAAACTTTAACAGTGGTCTTGATGTTGGTTTCGGAGCGAGGTGTCTATAAGTAGGAGTGATCTCCTGTCGGTTTTGGGTGGGTTCTGGTAAAAAAAATTAACTAATTATACTTAATCAAAATGTTTAAAAAAATATTTAATGTTATCTAATTTTTTTTTCAGATAATTTGGATTGGGATATATTGAATAGCTTAACAAGTCGGTTAATTAATTTGGTTAAATCTTTTATTAATGGAGACCTTCGGACTTAGAACCACTTAATTATAGTCTATCTTTTTGTGTGCCAAGTTGGCCTTAAGCTCCATTAGATTTCAGACACACGTACTGTCGTACACATATACAGGAATGAAATCCATTGATAGCAATATGTTTATTTATACATTTAAAAAGTAACTCTCAACTTTACTATTTATTTACCCATTTTACATATATAATCGATCGGTTTCAGATACTGACAGTATCATAATTTTATATTCGTTACTGACTTTATTTAACCATTTTAATCTAAAAACATTATTCTATTCATCTAAAATTTATTAATATTTGTTTTTATTCAGGTAAATTATTCGAATTCATACGAATCGAAATGGATTGATCGAATCTGCTCACCCCTGTCTATAAGCATGGAATTCACTTTGATTTGATTTTTACCGCAAAGGTTGAACAGTGTACATTGTAGCTAAAAAATGTGCACTCGCGTTGAATCATCACTTCATAATTTATTACTTGCACGCTCGTATCATTCCTTCCACGACACCAAGCCTAGGAATCCATATTTTTTTTGGTTGGCAAAACTGTATATTTAGTTTAAGTGAAAATAGATTCGTTTAAATAAAAATACAGAAAATGATAAAAAAAAATTATGTAAAATTAGTTTAAGTAAATTTTATACATTCGAGAAGATAAAGGCTAGGTGTAAGAAAAAGAAAAGACTAAGGATGAATGGAGATAAAAAAAAAATGGATGATATAGGAATGACGGCGAAAGAAGAGGAAGGTAGAGAGTTGAGTATGAAAGAAAGATGAATAGATAGATATGGGATAAAGTGAGAGTTAGAAGAGGAAGAAAGGAATTGAGCATGAGATAGAGGGTAAGTTTGGAGGATAAGAGAATAGTTGAGTATGAGAGAAAGAATAAGGTTGAATATGAAAGCTAAAGAAGGTTAAATATGAAATTAAACAGAGAGTGTTAGCATAAAGAGAAAGAAAAGAGAAAATTAAGAGAAAAGATGCAAAATTTGCTTAAACTAAAATAATTTACTTAAACAAATCTAGAAAAATTGACTTAAGCCAGAAAAGATAGCTTAAGCTAGTTTTGCGTAAAAAAAGTTTGTTGTTTTGTACATTTTTGCTTAAGTAAAAATAGATTAAATATCCAATATCTGTTAAAACTGGAGAAAATCTGGATTCTATGTAGAGAGCATTAGAAACTTTGTATGTTTATAACAAGTTTTTTATATTTTTTTCTAAAATATAGTAAAAATGAAAAAAAATTATCAAAATAAAGTATATAAGAAACTTTTTTTATTTTAAATTTTTTTTGTTACATTACCTTAAGTGTTGTTTTATTAAAAAAATAAATATCTGATATGTAAAAGCCTATACTTCTTTTTTAAGTATTCTTAGGATGTTGGTGATATTTCTTCCATCTATCAATGATTCTATATATTTAAATATTATTTTTTTTATTAAAAAAATAAATGTCAATTTTTACTTAACTAACACTTATTTTTTATTATGTTAAAAAAGATAAGTGTCAATTTTTACATAAGTGACACTTATTATTGTATCTAAAAGTTGATCATGTAAAGAACGAAACTTATAGTGACATGGTAAAAAAAATTTGAAATAGAAAAAATATTTCTTAAATATCCTATTTTAGTAATTTTTTAATTTTTACTATTTTGGCATTCGACGGTAAAGTGGCTTGGTCTTTCATACTGATCATGACCTAGAAAATTATAAACATAACTTCACGCATTTTGCAGTCTAACCAAACCTTTGTATATATACAAGCACAATGTATGGTAGATCCTACCACTTTAGGGTAATCAAAAGGCACATTGTATCCTATTGTCATTTCTAAGGTAAATATAATACTTGAGTCATCATTATTATTTACAATGAAACTATAATGGCATAACCGCCGTCATTTTCTACACACATAATTTAGTCTACTACTAATAATAAGCTCCAACCACCTAACAAGTCTATGGGGATTTGTCATCTTTATTTTCTAAAAGGTTTTGTAAGGATGAGTGTTTCTTCTCATTACCAACATAAGTTCACAATTATATCAAACAATACAAACAAGAATAATATATTAATCAATCAAACAGTACAAATCATGTTCATATGCATACAATAATTATCAAATATTCAATTTATCTTATTTCCTTTCTACTAATTCTTAGGTTTCTTATTTCAAACTTTCACTGTCCCTGAGATCCCTTGAGGTTTTCCTTAACATAGACAGTTGTTGGATAACCACAGCTATACGGATATAACATGTGCCGACTCGGCTCCTTTTAGTAAAAGCATGGTCAGGAGTTTAGGTCAGGAAATAAGTATGAGGCATGTGGTGCTTTTACTCTCATTAGTTATGAGCAATTCAATAAAAGCATTCATCACCCTCATTTTCCTAAGATTCCTAGAATCGTCTCTATCTTCCACACTCTCAATGTAGTTCTAAACTATTCACACTTGTCCTTAACATTTTTCCCTTCTCATCAGCATTTCTCTTCATATTCATTCATCACCCTCATTTTCCTAAGATTCCTAGAATCGCCTCTATCTTCCACACTCTCAATGTAGTTCTAAACTATTCACATTTGTCCTTAACATTTTTCCCTTCTCATCAGCATTTCTCTTCATATTCCTTTTCCTTTTTCATATTTCTCATTATGACTCCACTCTTTTCATTAGTCATTGTAGCCTTAACTTATCACTTTATATCAAAATGTTATTCATCTTTTTATTGTTAGATATTTTATATGTGGACTAACATAAAATCAAATTTTGTTATAACTTTAATTTAATTCCAGATTAATTAAGTGCCAAAATATTGAATTGTGTTGTTTAATCCCATATTATAAATAATTATTGTTATTGGGCTTATTTGTAATAACTTTAAAGTTAGTTGATATGGTTTTATGGTTATTGTTATTGGGTTGAGCCATAGTAGGTAGGCTTGACCCATCTTGTTATTAACCAGAGAGACCTCTGTTTCTAACCATTTCAGAGTAACTGTTGCCTCATTAAAACAATGTATGAAAAAAATCTGAAAAGGTGATAGAAGGAGTTCTTTCTATTTTTTGTTTCTTTCTCATCAATCAAGTTAGCACTTAGTCATGGACTCATCGATCTTAACCATTTCGGGTAATTCTAACACCTAATCCTATTATAGTGTTTGATGTCTTTGGACTCAGTCCACAATACACATTTCAAGTCATCAAGAATAAGAAAACTCATATTATCATCGAGATTTTTTAGACACATATTCACAAACAAGGAATACACAACCACATCCACACGAGCAGAACACATCAAGTTATCAATAATGGAATAAAGCTTTCTTTACCTCAATGGACAAGTTTAGCGAAGAAACCTAGTGGAAAAGACTGTCCAAAAGACTGAGGTCGTCCTACACATTATAAAGAAGAATATCCTTTGAGAAGGGATAAAATAAAGAAAATAGAAGTGAGAACGAAGAGCCAAGCTTTGAGATACTCACCAATGATTCTGTAGAATTGAGGTTTAAGCTTGGATTCAGAGTAACTTCAAAGTTTTAAAGGCTTTTCTCTCGATGAGGGAAGAGAGAAAAAAAGTTGAAAAATATTTTTTGGATTGTAATATAAGTTTATGGGTTAGATTTTCTTAAATACCATTGAATTCTTGTGCGCTCTTGCTTGAGCGAGACCATTCTCACCTAGAAGAGCCCTTTCTTACTTGAGCGAGAAAACCAGACAGTGGTTCCTCAATCTTTTTCTATAATTTTCACTTGAGCGAGAGTCATTCTAGCCTAAAGCAAGAAGACGTCTAGAGAGTTAGACATTTTTCCTGTGAGTCTTCGCCTAAGCAACTCATCTCACCTAAGCGAGATCTTTGCTCGCTTGAGCAAGATCATTCTCGTCTGGACGAGAGGATAGTTTTGTCTCGCTTGAGTGAGACTCATCTCGCTTGAGTGAAAATATCCTAAAATATTGTGGTTTTGGGCATACTTGTCTCACTTGAGCAAGACTCACTGCACCAGACTTCTACCAAAACATCCATAAATAATTTCCAAACACATTTCAACACTATTTAATATCAAACAATTCATCAACTAATAAATAAGAAAGAGGGTGTTACACCACTTATTATTTTGTTCCTTTTCTAAAGGTAAGATTTATTACTTGTTTATAATTAATAAAAAAATATATATAAACATTAACGTTATGAAGAGTATAGGACTTTTTCATCATTAAAGACCAAAAAATATTAAATTATCGATATAGGATACTTTTGAAACAATTTGCCACAATAGGCAAAATGAAAAATTTGATAATTGCAAAACTCATCTTAATTAGGTGCCACTTTAGGAGGAATTAACACGTGATAGTGCAAGAGTAACTCTCACGTGACAACATCATTACATAAGGATTAACGATGGAAATAAGTTAGGCTAGATTAGGCTTTGCATAAATAGGCCTGGTCTGTTTAATAATTTTGAAGCTTGAGTCTAACCTATTATTTGTCATAGACTTTTTATTAAGCCTAGTCTGACCTCTTTAAAAGCCTGATTTAGCCA